ATCAACCAACTCATCATCTGCATCCAAATCTAAATGATCCCCAAACTATATCACCTCAGCTGGAATCCCAAACAATACAGTATGATCTGGAGTATGTTGAGTAATCTCCACCTAACGTGAAGTAGCATCATACTCCACCTGCTGTGATATCCTAATGATCTGATTAACACTCTCCACCTGCCGAGAGTCAAAAGTGGCATACCTGTTCAGAATAAAATTAGAAGCCAATACCTGATAATCAAACACGTCTCTGAACCCTAAATGTGCAATCGGATCAAATCTCACATCCTCGATGTGACTAAATGTTGGGCAATCAAATATCCGAAGCAACCCAAAATCTGAAGTAGCTGTACCAGATCCAAAATATCCAAATACAGCAGTCGGCAACCTCTGACTAAGATGACCCAAATATGTCGAAGCTCTAAAACTCCTCTGCAATCCAATGCTCGACAACCCATGCCGATCCTCCTCCAGTAAGGAACAATCCATCAAAACTATCATCTCATCTCGTTATCCCAATATTTCCTCTCTAATGAAGTGTCTCAAACTGCCGTGAGCTCGGCAAAAATACAAGAAAGAACCTTATCAAAAATAGAATGATGGGTAACCTTTCTGCCAATACACTTCCCCCATCTGTTGTTGACTTCTAGGACTTCACACCAACAGGACTTGGTTGCAACCCACCAATGCCTAGAATAGTCCCCAACTATAGAAATCAAATACCGATTACCTCCTAATGATGCCTCCTTGGAAGTCCCCCAAATGCCTGAATGAACATCACTTAAAAGACCCCTCGATCAATGGATAGAAGTATCAAACTCCACGTCGGTCTTCTTGCTCATATAATGTGATCATAGGACTTCAATCTGCATGTCAAAGCACTCCTCAACAAACTATACATGACATAACCAATCAAATATCCTAGCCTCAACAAATGCCACAGTCTAGCCAAATCTACAGAAGTCATCAGTTCTCTACCAATCACCATGCTCCCAATCAAATAGTACAAATTCTTTCTACTGACGCCCTTCATCACAATTATGAACCTAAATGTGACCTTCAAAGATGCATCCTCTAATGTCACCTGATAGCCTGCTGCCTCTAAAATTTCAAGTAAAATGATGTTCTTCTTCAACTGAGGAGCGAACCTCACTTCATCCAACTCCCGAATCACTCCGTCACACATCCTAATATAAACGGTATCGATACCATTAATAGGGCATTCATGATCATTATCCATGAGCACGACATCCCATCTTTCTAACTCTTGAAAGCTAGAGAATCAATCCCTCCTAAGAAAAATGTGGTAAGAGGCACCCGAATCCAATATCCACTCTGTAGAGTCGGTGACACAAACTGACGGTAGTGCTAATGAGTAGTCTAAAGAATCCGAATCTGAATTATCACCACTAGTCTTGACAACATTCACATCTGAAGCTTGAATAGTTTTCCCCTTATTCTTCCCGTCTCGATCAAACAAATTTGGGCATTCGGCTTTCCAATGTTCATCCTCTTTACAAAAGGCACACCGATTCCTATGAACTCTAGAATGTACCCCTCTAGATTGCGATCTCCTACCACAATTTGGACTCTTTACTCTTGTGACTAATGCCCCCGCTACCGGCTCAACTGAAGTCTCATTATCCTTCTTTCGAAGCTGATAATTCACAAGTGCAGCGATGACCTCACTATACGAAAGAGATGCCTTCCCATTAATAAGAGTAAGAACGAATATCTCATATTCCTCGTCGGGTAAGGAACTCAATAATAACAATGCCTTGTCCTTATTTTTAATCATAATATCTACATTCGTCAAATCCATAAGAAGCTTCGTGTAGTGGTTCATGTGATCACCAATAGAGGTCCCCTTCTTCAATTGGAAGCGATAAAGCCTCCTCTTCAAATGCAAATGGTTTTCTACACTCTTTATCAAATACTTACCCTCTAGGATCTTCCAAATCTTCTTAGCCAAAGTCTCATTGATAACATCATATTTCAAATCTTGAGTTAAACAAGATCTAATCACACCACACGCCATTTGATTCATCTTCTTCAAAACCTTCTCCTCAATGTCGTCCGGTTTCTCGTCCAACTCTATGAATCTTCCGAATTTTGTGCGTTGAGCACATCCAAGACTTCACATCTCCAAAGACCAAAATTTTTTGTGTCATTAAACTTCTTCACATCTATCTTTATAGAGTGGATATTCAAACTTTGAACGGTCTTCACGCTGGAAGTACCCTCCATAACTCCTTCTTTCTCGACCCCCTTTCTCAAAACACTAACAAAACAATGCGTAACAAACAAAGAATAGATCAAAACTAAAAAAGAGAGAATTTTACCTCCAACTGAAACCCTAACAAGGGCCTCCGAAAGATTTCACCCCACACGACAGAAACGAGATCCACAAATAGGAAAAATCCCACCTTTATCACCAACTGAAGCCCTAGACGAACTTCCAAAGCGATCTACTCCTCTAATTAGCCCAAGCGTAGCCAAAGCTCTGGTACCACTTGATATGCTTTGATACCACTTGTTGTGCGCGGAAGCCAAAACCGATGTACTTCGAGGAACCAAACCAAACGCCGAGAGAAGGCCAAACAAACCAAAGTAATATCACAAACACAAACAACCAATTTTAACGTGGTTCGGCAAGTTGCCTATGTCCACGGGGTAAGAAGGGGATGAGGTTTTCACTAATAGAGAAGAAGAGTACAAACTGAGATAACAAATCACTTAAACCAACCAACTAATCTCACCAACAAATCTCTAATTCTCTCCAAACAAAATCATAAACAATAGCTCAGAAAATACCTCTTTTTCGTGCTCCAAATATCCCCACAACAAGCCTAAAGAACCCCTAAAATGTGTGTCGACCAAACTTGACGCCGCGATCGAGGACAAAACGACAGGAACCATGTAAATCGATTACAGGGTCCACGGTCGACCGGACATGTTGCCACGGTCGACCGTAAAAAATCCAGAGACCACCTTGTCTTGTGCACGTTCGCGGTCGACCTCCGCAAAGTTCGCGGTCGACCGTGAAGCCTCCAAAATGTTTCCTGCTTCCCAGAACTTGTTCTTCTCTAATTTCTTCGCCAAATCTACACAAAATCATTCTTTTATACAAGCATTGTTTCCACTTGTTACTATCTCCTAAGCTCTATCAATAATTTAACAACATAAGCTCCATCCAAGTTTTATGCACTCAAAATAAATAGGGCTGAACTTGAACCTTCTGATTCATTCGATTTTTTTCTAACCTCCTCGGATAGAATTATAACTATTACCTCATTCAGCTTCAACTTTTCCTTTCCTGCCGAGTTGCTGATTGTGGTCACGCAACCTGCCCAACTATCCGTCAACTATGATAGTATCAATAAGGCCTGTACTTCGTCATCAAACATGATGTCAATTGAGATGAGTTGATCAACAATTGTGTTGAACTTACTGAGATGCATCGTGAAAGAACATCATTTTGCCATCTTGAGGTTCAATAGCATTTTGACGAAATGCACCTTATTTGTAACTGATGGTTACTCGTACATCATTGCGAACGCTTCCATAAGCCTCACCGTCGTCTTCTCCTTTAATATATTATGTGCTACAGATTTTGCGAGGGCCAATCGGACCTACCCCAGGGCTTTTCGATCTAATATTTCTCAATCCTCGTCGGATTCCTTTTTCTTCTATCCTTTTTCTTTACCCATCAGCGGATGGTAAAGATCCTTCTGATACATATAGTCCTCCATCTGTGACTTCCAGTAAGCTAAGTCTAATCAGTCAAACTTCTCAATTTTAGATTGGCTTTCTTCTGCCATTTCTTACACACACAGATCTGAACAAGGGCTCTGATACTAGTTGATGGGGAATTCAAGCTACTCGACCACCTGTCAAATATGAACCCTCGTGCGGAATTTGTCCTACTGTATCTTGTGTTAAGAAGTGGAAAGATGAAATCACAACAAATTAAAAATATTGCAAGAAAAGAGAACACCGAGTTTTAACGAGGTTCGGCAACTTGCATACGTCCTCGGGAGCCACACAAATAATTTCTTTTATATTAAAGAAGATTACAAAACTTGCAAAAGAGAATATCTCAACTTGAGATCTCTTAAAAAGGAACAAACAGAAAAGCTATCTGTTGTTCTCTCAAGGCGTGAGTTTTTCCAACAGGAAAAACTCACTCTCACCTCAATAAATTGCTACAGGAAGAAACCCTTAAGTGTCTGAGATTTTTCTTCTCAAAATCTCGTGCTCAAAAGTCGGGGAGGAGAAGACGCTCACAAAACGCCGCCGCCAAACCCCCCCCGCCGCTCTCAAAAAATCCTCTCTGAGATTCTCCTCTCTCATCTCGTGCACAGTGTTCCCTTAAATAGGGAAACCCTAGCCAACAGCTGGATCCAACTGTTTCCCACAACACAGGCGAAGAGGGGGACTCCAAGCTCGCTTGATCAGCGCCACGAGCTCGCCTGCACGTCGCCCCACTTGAGCTCGCCTGAAGAGCTTCGACCTCGCCTGGAGAAAACTCGCCTGCAGCTCATCGACAACCTCGCCTGCAACTCAAGCTTGCCTGCATCTCGCTGTCGATCTTGCCTGAGCCGCCTATCTCGAGCTCGCCTGCAACCATCACAACCTCGCCTGAAGTCGCTGATCTCGCCTAAGTCTTCAACCTCGCCTATAGGGCCTTCGCTCGAGCTCGCCACGAGCTCGCCTGCCCTAGTCGTTGACTTCGCCTGCAGACTCGCCATCGCCTGTGTCGACTCGCCAGAAGCTCGTCGCCTCGTCTGCGTCGTCGACTGGACCTCGTCTGAAATCGCTCAAGCTCGCCAAGGTTTGGATCTACACCCTGTTTCCAACATGAGAGTACACTTGAGTTAGATTCAAATATTGATCTTGTATTTGATGTGATTCCCAAGTCTAAAATATTTGCTAAAACCAGCTTCATGTTTTCCTTCCTATATGAGCATAACTGGAATTTCGTCTTGCTAGTAGGACAATATTCACACAACCCAAATCATATTTATCTTCAGACAATTCAATTCCCAATAATTAAGTCTCCAAATATAGCAATCCGTAGTTCGAATTATTTATTATGTCTTCGACTCACAACAGCATAATTACACATTGCCCAACTCCAAACTTGGTGGCTGGTACAACATAACATCTCGAAAGTTAAATATGGGGTCCCTTTATTACTATTTTCAGTGTTTTAATTAGGCTAAGTGCAGCATACTAGACGCCCCAGCTAATAGATGCATATCATTTCCACATACTTTGACTGACATTTATGGCATTGGCAAGAAGCCTGCATATTGTGATGGCATGCTATAAATTTGATTCGCAACAGCCGCAGCAGCAACACTAGTCTCTCCAGTTGCTTTATTATTCGCATCGCATGTCACTAGCCACCTTCCCTGAAAACAGAGAGAAAAATATTAGGTGCATAGGAATCAAAGATTAAGGATTACCGACTTGTAAGTAACAAAATACGTTCCTTGAATGCGGCTCTCAAACTGCCAAACCTAAAAGGGTGGTAAGTGTTGTGGGTGTTGTGCGCAGCGGAATTCTAATCACACGAACAAGAACAAGGTAGATCACAACTAAACACAAGCACAAATCACAATCTCAGCAAGACAACGAATTTTACGTGGTTCGGCAAGTTGCCTACGTCCACGGTGCAAGGAGGGGTGAGTTCTTACTATTAGAGATGAAGAGAATACAAAATAGGGTTACAAAACTCACTCAAAAACCCTCAAACAAAGCTCTCTAAATCACTCACCAATCTCCCACAATTGGATGCAACAACCCTCTCTCAAAAACTGCTCAAAACGTCATTAATTAACCCTAATTAATCTTGTTTAGGGTAATATACGAACAACAAACGAAACGGGTCAAAAACCCAAAGCCCAGCTCAAACCTGAGTCGCGGTCGACCGCCGCGGC